GAAAGTTGCTTATTTCATCTCATTCACTACACCCTCCTCCTTATCTTCTTACTGGTCAGTCACTAACGACGTCGAGAGCGTTAACTAAGCAAATACACAGACTAGCAACCCATTACCCACTTTGTAAATAAAGCTTTAATCTGCATTAGTTCTCTACTACCATTTTGAGCCCCAAAACTGGTTTAAAACTTACTGCATAAATCGCTGCATTTGTTTTGGCAACAGATCTTGTAATCTGAAACAAAAAGTTCAAATAATATGATACGTTAGTAGCAGTGAAAGGCAGGAGGAATTTATACAGTGTAATCAATGCAAAGAGGAATCAAGGCATCTATCACAGAAAAGGTAACATGAAACAACACCGCTCAATTGCAACATGATCTCAAACAACGATCACAGCCAGCACGTTTTAGGTGCTGGCCGCTCGGACGGACAGCTAAATGTGGGGGAGACACAAAAGATGCTTAACATTAGTAAATAGCGGTCATAGTTCCGCTGGCTACATTGTTCATGCTGCAAAACTGAAAACTTCCATAACCACAGGAATGTTACCTATGAAAAGGAAGGGCTAAAATCTCTGAACTGAGGATCAAGCCAGGGATCGGCAAGGTAAAAGGTAGCATAACCAAATATACTAGGTCCAATGTTAGACTTTGCACCGTGTGATCGCAACCCAATCTCCAAGTTTTCTAAGAGTTCAGCTGTTACTTGGAACGAACAAAAGCGCCTTGTAACTCTTTGCGGAAACTCGGTCAATATTTTGCGTCTCCACTTTCCCGGAGAAGCCCTGTGAACAAAAATTTGGGTTTCTGGGTGAGTCATCTAAAAAACAAGGTTATAAAAGACTGCAGAGGCCAAGATAAACTATGTCATTCACCGGTGAAAAACATGAGACCTAGGTCGACCCAACTAGGCAAAAATGTTGCATGCCTCCTCAACTCGAAGCTCTCGATCGACACCCAACTATACACTACATTGGATCGAGTTTAGTGAACGTATGGGCGCTTGCATAGTCGGTCGTCCGATCGTACCGATCTCACAGCATTGAGATACGTATCGATCGTCTGGCATGCGACACATGCGATCGTTACGGCCGATCATAAATGCGTCCAATAAGCAAAAACCATACTCGACAAGGTTGTCAAACAAAAGAGCACTGCTACCCATGTTGCTAAGATGGGATTCTCGGTTGATATTCGAGTAAGTTCGCCATCTTGAAGTATCGTAACGGCAATTAGTATATGGATGCATTCCAAAGACACTTAAATATAGATCCCCAACGCGCTTATTAAACTCGACTCAAACATTAACTATTCCGAATGCAATAATAGTGGACTAACAAAAGCAAGGATCAAAAGTGAAAGTCACTTACCCTCTCGCACGTCTCTGTGGAAGCCGTGCAAGGAGTGTCAAGGCTTGGCAGCGTCCGTTGGGAAGAAAGAATTTCTTGCTTGACATGAAGATTCTATAATAACTGACATGGATTTATTTGCTAACTACTCATCAAATAAATCAAAAATTTGGGCAAATTTTTCACCAGACATGGGATTCAAACCAGCATCTCTCGCTTACTGGGCAATTGTGCTACTTTCGCAACGCGAAATAGGGCGTTAAAACGGCAGCTAACAATCACGACATGTCAAAAACAATCAATCGAAAAACCCCGTATTTGCATGATAAAGCAGTGAGCGAGAAAACAGCATGTAAAAAAACAGACCGTTACTACAGCCTCAGCTGCGTTTGATTGGGAACGAACAGGAATCGGCGATGCGGTAACTGCTGGGCTTTCCAGCTCGATCTGAGTTATACTAGAATCAAGACCCAAACGTGAAGATGCGAAGCCCTGATCAATTCACCTTCACCGAAATCGCGTGTTGACTAGGATTGGACCCTTCTAAAGCGGAAACAAATGTTTCCGGCGTCTGCAGCGGATCTTCTGCACAATGAACCTGCACACATTCCGATCCTTCGTTTCTGTCTTTTGCGATGTCTTCTCCTCCATTGATGGAGCACGCAGCATCTTCATAAGAAGTTTCGGCTTCGACATCATTTCATTACCCTTAAACAAACTATGAACAGGAGCTGTAACTTAGATAATATATTTCGTCAGAGCGCAACTTGAGTCGATGCTGCACTCACTACTTTAGCATCGCGGTGCTATAAATTGTCTCAAATTCAAAAAAGAAAATGTTAAGCAGAGCTTAAACAGGTAACTCAAACATGTTAGTTTCTAGAGTGCTTCAAGGGACAAAACGATATCAGAGGACGATATCAAACAATCAAAAAGGACTTCAGGTGGATGTCAGACTTGGCGATCCTGCAGTCGCGACAGCGATAGGAACACGCCGTCGCGAATGCAAATTGCCGTCTCACATCCACCACAACAAAGAGAGAAAATTCAACCTGCAAATTGGCACGATTCTTAAGCTATGTTATGTACTTGCAAATTATCTTCCAATGGATTCCAAAGCGAAGATTTGGATATGTTTATGAAGACTTCTAAACCACCGTCTAATCTATATTCTTTCATTCAACTCTACAAAGCGAATTTCGGTTCAGGGGAGCTATTTTAGTCCTACAGTTTGCCCCAAATATTTCTCACTGAAATCCGTCTTCTGCATTCATTTGAAACAAGCTTGTCACTTTAGGGTGTCTTCATGAACAACTTGATGGATTGCAAGGCAGGCTAACGTCACAACTTGGACTGAGTTCAAAGACACCATTTTCTTGATGCCTAGTCTTGATGGATGAATTTTTAGCACAAGAGATCGTCGACGCTGAATAACAGAATGTCGCCTATAGGTCAAAACAGCGAAAATCTACCCAAACAACCCAAAAAGGAACTTTTATGCTGTTTATCTCAGTCTAAAATTTGGACCTCTCAGATCTTTACATCTGAATATATATGAGCATTTGGTGCTTATCAATATTGAAATACTCTTCAAAACTCCAAAAAATAAAAGCGATGACTACATGTAAACCGACTCACCTGACTCCTCGGTGAGTCCATCACTGCAGGTGTTTCTATCTGATCAGTGATGCATGCTTCCTGTACCACCGCAACAGGTGTAGAAGTAATCTCCTTAACTTGTGCACTTAACCAAACTCAACGGATCTAATTCGCACATCGATGTGCTCATAGTAACTATTATAAAACTTCGTTACTCACATCCGCTTGTGCTGCATCTCCTTCTCCTCTGTGCAGTACTCTGAACAAAAGTGATATTAGTATGACGTGAATCATATACACAGAGAAGCGCACTTGGAATACAGACTCACTCCTCTTCGACATCATCTTCAAATGTTAAAATACTACGACTATAACTCTCTGCCGTCTCTCGGAACTGCTTGAATGTTAAGCCTCGGCGAGGCGTTCTCGGTACTGCCCTGTTTCCGCTCCTGTATAGATTAATAGTCTGTGACAGTACGTCGTTAATCAAAAACCATAGCTGGTCCGATAAATGCCAATAACAAGCATTTAATAAAACTAACGCTTCTCTGATAACTTCTTTCAATTTAGCTTTTTGCACATGAAGCCAATCCGAGGCGTTGGAAAAAGTCGCTTGAAGATCCACCATTGTGGCTGAGCACCCTCGCTCAACGATCTAAAATGTCCTTTAAACAAAACCCAAATAAAAGTAATAAACCTTAGGGGTTGCGCCCTATTAAAAACACTGTCAGGGCGAGATTGGCTTTCAACAACAATGAAAAGTTATTGACTGATGGGAAGATAACCTCACAAGAAAATATACTTTGCTCAAAAATACCACAAATACAATATGCAATGTGTTGCAACCCATACAATGTGAGTTGGAGATCTTTGTGTTCAAAACATCACCTTTGAGATCGAGATGGATCTTGTCCCTACTAGTTGTAAATATTTAATTTTTAATCAAAGTATGTTAAAACGTCGTTGTAGGGAATTAACAAGGGCATAAAAAGATCGAGAAATCGCACCTGCTGCATCCTTAGTGGTGGATGAGAGAGAACCTTATGGTCAACATATTTATTTTCGTCCTCTTCAGCATCCATTCTGACCATGCCTGTCCACCTGTTGGGCACTATCTGCCTTCACAGAATTCGGTTTCTTCCTTGATCTTTTTGGTGGCATTCTTAAACAACAAAACCAAAATCAACAAATCCCTCGGCAATTTGACAGTAACGACGACTGCACAATAACGATCCAACATTTCATCACATATGAGCTCTCGAACATCTCATTCGAACACATCTGTACGTTCACAGTATTACACTGGCTAGAGAGCGGATTCGTGGACGAAGGTAATATTTTCATACAGAACAAAACAGAAAGTGGAATTCATTCATCAAGCTCTCATTAGCTCTCTCATCTTCAGAAAGGAGAAGACAGTGATGAAGAAATCATGGAAAAGATGTCAACATTCAAAATGGACAGAACATTATTAAAGTGGTCCAAATTTCACAAGAACATGGATGGAAAGGCCGGTTGACGCCCAAACAAAATCACCCGTCACGATTTCTAGGTTCTTAATTACGAAAACAGCCCAATAATAGCGCTGACCTAGTGAACTCTGCGCTTAGCAGCTATAGCGAAATTTTGAAAATTCACCTTCGCGGGTGAGCGTTCCGTGCGGGCAGACAACTCGTCCATCGGACGGCGTGGGTGTGGGCGTACCCAGTTCCGCATCGCGTATGCCGTCGTGACGCCGCACGCGGCGATCTGTGGTCTATCCATTCGCTGCTGTGGCCCCGTCTAGAAGCCCCCCCCCTCGAGATTGCCGGCACCACTCTCCCTTCTGTGCTCAGATAGCCCATTCAAAGTGTCAGTTGTGGGAGCAGTCAAGAGACGGTTTCGGGTTTCTTGCGAAACGAACCAACTTCACTATTCCATTTTTTCCAGGTTCGTGCAATCGAGGGGGGAGGAACAAGTACAGAACGTTCCTTACAAGGGAGAGCTACCAGTCAATATCCATGGGACGGACGTCAAGGTTGGCAACCAAACCAACGTTGCACAACGTGGCAATCCTTTGAGAACTGATTAGAAATCTTTCCAATCTACACCTCTTCCCTTTAAACATCTTATGTGAGTGAATTCGGTGATGTGCTAAAGCATCAAAAACAGGTTTTGATTAACCATGCGTGGATATTGATGTTCTGAGCACCTTTTTGATCTAATACATGCGATTGAGTGAGTATTCTTCACCACGTTCCTGCAGAGGTTATCGTGCTCTAGTCTACATTGCACAAAGACCCTTTAATTTAATGATGTGTCGGAAAAATTCATTCGTTCTTTTGTGTGAAGCTTTTTCACGTTTTTATTGTGAAGTGTGACTTGCTTTTGTTGATGTTCGTTCCAAAAATATACATCCTTTCAGATGACTTCGGAAGGCGGCTTGCGGCAATGCCTAACCGACCTGTCTCGAGCCGACACAAGCGGCGATTACCAGAAGGCCTTACAAGCAGCAAATAGAAGTGAGATCTTTAAGCTGGCATTTCCAGATCTCTCAGAGTCAATTCCTTTGCAGTGATACGTCGCTATCCGAAAGAGCTGTATGCCTTCAAATGTAAACTCGTTTGCCTTATCCAACTGGGAATGTACGACGATGCTCTTACATTGCTCAAAAAGACGCCTCCAAACCAAATGGGGTAGTTGTCAATCTACATATCTGTACTCTAACTTTTTCTTGGAAATTAATTCTTTCAGGGAATGCGCTTTCGAGAAAGCATACATTCTTTATCGTCTTGAAAGGAACGATGAAGCTCTTGAAGCGCTGGCAGCTTGTGATCCGAAAGACCATCGTGCTCTCGAATTGAAGGCGCAGCTCTGCTATCGCCTTGACCAGTTCCAGGTTTCACAATTTCCTTATCTTTCCTTGATTCTAATTGATCCCTTGGCTAGAGCAAAGTGCAGTGTATGGCGGGGGGGGGGGACAGGGTGTGGTTCACCAAGACAGAAAGCGAGTTTTCTACGTTTCGCAGCGCGAAACACGAAAAGTCGCTCTTTGCCCTAGTGAACGGCACCCATGGGGACAGAATGGATATTAGCTGGTGTGTGGTCATGCTTTGCGACCGTCTAGCAGTCTAGTGTGAGCTGTATTTAAGGCTGCTTTCATGGTCTGCGCCGTGTTGACGCTCTTCCCACTGGCCGTGCGGACTGCGTCTGCGACGGCGCAGACTACGAAAGCAGCCTAATATGCATATCGACCGTGCGATCCTACGGTCGTGCACGAAGGTCCTGTCCACTCCGCACCAGAACTGTTCGGTCGTGTTCTCTCGCGGGTCCCTCTCCTCTCCAAGGCTTAGTCCTAGGGCATTCACCGTTCTCTAATCGTCTGTGCTCTAGCCATCGCGGCAGGACCATTGAGGAAAAATCAAGTAGTCCGTAAACCGTGACGTGACGCGGTCAAACGAATTGCAAGGCAGTCGCGAAGTATGCCCGCACCTTTCCCATTTCGCCACTGACACGTACATCGCAGCGTCAGCTCAGTAGCAAGCTTCATATTTTTCAAAGCCTTCACATAACGTTTCTTCTTCATTCCATAATTTCAGAAAGTTTTTTTTTTCGTATATCCTTGTAACCTTCAACTTATGACTGGCAGTTTAGTGTTGTTTTGTGTATTGTTTTTTGTTCATGAGCACTTTAAGACTGCGTCAAGTAATTTTTGTAAATCTTTCCAGGAAGCACTCGATATCTTCCGAGACTTGTTGCGAAACCACTCAGATAGTTATGATGATGAACGCAAAGCAAACTATCTCGCAGTGCAAGCTCAGTTGGAAGCTATGGGACTCAAGCAGGTCAGTGTTATACCCATTCATTCAAGGAATACGCTTGAAGTACCAACTGGATTGTTTTAATTCATTGTGGAAGTTGTTGCCTTTGTTCAATTTATCCTACGTATTTCCAAATTTTGTGTATTTCAGCAAACTGCAAGCGACAGTGAAACATTCGAGCAAATGTATAACACCGCTTGCCAACTCATTGAAGCGGGCAATTACGAAACGGCATTAACCATGCTTGATAAAGCAATCAGTAAGTCATCTCATCTTTGCGAATAAGTTTAGCGTTCTTTTTAAAATTTATTATGACAAATGCAAGGGCTGATACTTTACAGATGCCTGTAGAAACACTCTGAGCGATGAAGGATTAGATGAAGAGGAGATTGAAGACGAACTAGCAATGCTGCGTGTACAGCGCGCTTTCGTGTTGCATAAAATGGGGAGGAAACAGGAAGCCATCGAAATATACAGAACGCTCCAAGCGGCGGGGTATGTTTGTACAATTCCTTTCTACAGTAAAAATTTCTGGATTTGATCTTTCTATTTTTTGAAATCGCTCCACAGAATATTTGAATGAAATACAGGCAATTTGGCGTACTAAGTGAAATCAGTTTGAGAACGATTTAGTCCTTCCTAGGGCAAGCAATGTGTTGTTCCTGCGCCTCGTGCTTTTCGCTTTCGCGGTCTTTTGACTTACTTTCTCGGACGAGAAAGACGTGCTTCCTCAAAATTAAGCAAGATTCCGTAGAGGTTATGGGATAATCCCTCATCTTCATTGAAATCTCTATCTACCCTAGTCTGAGAACTTGTTTTCATACCGATGTGATCAACGACTGTATTTCCTGAGGTGTAAAAACGATGTTCCTTGTTCTAGACCATCTGACGTAAGTGTTATGGTCACTGTGGCAAACAACATGGCAAGCGCTATGAAAGATCAAAGTCTTGCTGATTCTCGAAAAAAGCTGAAAACTGCTCTACAATTGGATCAGAAGAAACTATCTACACGTCAGCGACGAACGCTCATGCTGAACAATGTAAGCTTTTGGTAATCAGATCGTAAGCTCCAAGGCTTCAACAAAGTCTTGACGGGACAGCAGTACGTCCCAAAGCTAAATTCAAGTTTCAAACGACCTCCCTCCATGTTTTCTATCGGTTTAAGGCTCTCGTGCTGCTACATTCGAATCAGAGGGAGCCATGCCGACGTGTCCTGGATGATCTGATCAACGTTTTTGGTGCTTCGAGAGATACTCGGCTCATCGAAGCTGCGCTGTGTTTCAGATTGAATGAATTCGAGAAGGCGATCAAGGTAGGTCGTAGAAGTGACTCATGTTTGGTGGTAGGCGATCAAGTAAGAAAAGGGGAAAAGGGGATCACATATAACCACTAGGGGAGTGTTTTTGTAGTCAGTCGACCATACTATATTTAAAAAATTATTTTTCTAGATGCTCGAAAACGGAGACCTCCAAATGGAAATGACTCGCATTCATCTTATGATCAACAGCGGTAAGAGATGAAAGCTAGCGTGTTTTATATTTGCTATGAAATGACTTGAAGGTCGCCTTGATGAGGCCATCACTGCGTTGAACAATATTCCCGCAAATGTTCGTCTTCAATCTGCTGTGGTCAGTCTTGCTGTCAGTTTGTTGGTCTCGCTTGAAAGAAAGGATGAAGCTCTGAAGGTTTGTTGCTTGTGTACGATCCCAATATATTGCGTTTTATTAGTTGAAGGTGCATAGTAGTATGGTTTCAGATGTTGAACGAGGCAATTGGACATATGAAGGACACGGAAGTGCGAAAACAGATGCTCAGTCAAGCGGCTATGCTTGAATCCTCGAGAGGAAATGCGGCCGCCGCAGCTAGATATTTAGAAAAACTCGCCGAGTTAGTTTTATGCACAAGTCGATGTCTCGCCTTTGTTTCAATGTTTTTGTTGAAGGTTCGATCCGAATGATGTCAAAGTGCTTTGCCGACTAATTCGTGCATATACTGATTCAGATCCGAAAAAGGCTGAGCAGCTGAGCGCGCAGGTGAGTTTTCTTCACAGTCAGCTTTAACTAAGAACGTGTGTTGTATTGTGAAAGGGGTTCTGCTACTTTTGAGCTGGGCGACTAGAAGTGTAATATTTTAGGTGTTCCCAGAGACAACAGAAGAAGGTATGGATGTTGACGGCATTGAAGAAAGCGATTGGATCCTCTATGGTGAAAAATATAAGCAGAAAAAGGAGGCCAAGTCTGAAGTGGAAGATACCGTATGTCATGATTCGTTTGAAATGAGTTCAGGATCAACTTATGAGCTGCTTTTTAAGGAGATAGTGACGAGGAAGTTGAAGAATCGCAAGCGCAAAAGAAAGGTTAAACTTCCAAAGAACTACGATCCCAATGTGCCGCCAGATCCAGAAAGGTTGGTGGGCATTCAGACGATTTCTTTCAAGCCGCAGTGAAAATGATGATCTTTGCTCTAGGTGGTTGCCTAAACAAGAACGTGCGGCCTACAAAAAGAGGCAGAAGAAGAATCGTGATCGAGACATAGGGAGAGGCACTCAAGGCTCGGCTGCTACGAATCCGAACGTGTACGTTTGAACTGCTATTCGTCCCCGTAGTGACAGTGATTCCATGACATCCTATGATGTTGGCGAGGAGGTAATGTTTCAGTGAGTTTACGACGGCTTCTCCAAGTTCGCCGTCGCCGATGGCCACCATGCCCGAAGGACCGCGTCAGCTGCGCCCTAAACAGCAGCCTAAAAAGAAGAAGAAGCCATCTAAATTTTAAGGAAGCACCGTCTTGCTGACTTTCACTTTTAGTAGGATTTTGTTCTAGGTTTTTTGGTTGTTAACTGTATTAGCATATTTCGGCATATTCCTAATTTTCTCTTTTCCTATTTTTTGTGGTGTTTTTTTTAATTATTAAGATAAATACTTTATAATTGATTCGTTCATATGTATTTAAACACAGACGTATCTGCTCTACATGTAAGCGAGTTGCTTGTCCCGGGTAATTTTGTGAAAGTGGAGTAGGGGTGAACCTTGAATTAAAAATACACTAGATTCGTGACATGGGTTTGTGTTTTTTTTTTTTTTTTTTTTTTTTTTTTTTTTTTTTTTTTTTTTTTTTTTTTTTTTTTTTTTTTTTTTTTTTTTTTTTTTTTTTTTTTTTTTTTTTTTTTTTTTTTTTTTTTTTTTTTTTTTTTTTTTTTTTTTTTTTTTTTATTTATTATTGAACTCACAGGGTGAGATCGCCTAAGGTCAAACGGTCGTTGGTCCGATTTGAGTTGCGAGCCAGCGCACTTGTCGTGCCGCCTCCCGAAGGGGGTGGTCTCGCCATACGAGTTCTCCTCGAGGCGAGCACTCACCGCCACTATCAGCGTAATCCACCTAACCACGCGACATCATCCAACGCCAGAAATGTATCTGATAATATAATTGTCGACTTTTGGGCTGTCCTACAACTTAACGACCCGCCGCTCTCCACCTAAAAAATCTAAAACGGCCATCGAGCGCATCGAGTGGAAGGAGGAGGGGATCTCATGAGCGGCAGCAGCAGACCTAATTTTGTCCATTTCACGATTTTTACCTGAAGTTTCGATTTGAATAGTCGAAAATCACCCTTTTTTCCGCAATCATGTATCCCTCAACTTCCCCAAATACGCACTTCCCCCTCTTAAAACTCGCGAATGCGACTCCGTTCCTTATGTTAAGACCAACAGACGGTTGAACGCTGGCACCATTGGTTTGACTTACTGATAACGTACAAAACTGACGCGAATTGAGCACGATCATGAGAATCCACATTGATTTTTTTCTAAAAACTTTTTTTTTTCGCAAGTAGAAAAGCCATCAAGGGAAGCGATCGTGATAAGTCTCATGGGATGTGAATGGAAAGAGTACTGGAGAATTGGCTGAACATCCCCATCAGCAGACCAAAGTGTGTCGCGAACGGTGTGTATGCTCCCCGACACTCGACCTCCCAGCCGAGCTGCCCATCCGGCCCACCACGCTGCCTCCTGAGCACCCGTCAGGAGGAGCGGACCCAACTACCCCCCGGGGACACACGAGGGGCGCCGTCGGCGGCTCAACCTACGCTCTAGTGGCCGACGGGCTAACCTAGGTAAACAGCCCTACTAAACCCGAGTGACACACAACAGACCGATATAATTAGGGTAAACCCACATATAATACATAGAAAACACAATTATATTTACTAACATTTATTATGACGTAATAACTCACCATACTCCTCGAACTCCCGGGGTCACCTCTCTCAGAGGTGAGCCCCACCAGCTGACTCGACGTATTAGACCCCCACGTTGGCTCGGCTTCTTCTGGGGGCTCCATGCGGCCGACGTGTCCTATCTGGGATGTTGTAAGGGCTGCTCCCAGACGGGGAGCAGGGGAAGGACACGACCGGCTTTGGGATGACAGGCGCTCCGCCAACATGGACTACGGAGCGACGTGCCCCTTCGCCTTAGCTGGCCTCATCGCGTTGCCCGGTGAACACCGACCTGCCACCGGTGGCCAGCTCCTACGAGCACCGCCGCACGGACGGTGCGCGTAGCGCCGACTAACTGGCCTCGACCGCAGGGAGGCGGGGCCAATGGCACTGGATGCGCATTGGCATCCGAGCGCAAGTGGGCCGGGGCGCACGGTGCGCCCAGCGGGCGCTTCCAAGGCAGTGGCGTGATAATGTGCTGGACGAGCTCTTCAGAGCTCTACTTCCAGAGCTCTAGCTCACCCACCATGTTGGACATGGAAAGGTGGCAACGGTGGCGTGCTATGATACCCTCATTGTTCTCGTCCGATTTTCATGTCTGATGTGACTCATACCTAGCAGCCGTACCTTCTTATCGTATTGTGTCATGTCTTCCATGGGGTTATGCTCGTCCAACCATTCTCAGTCTTAGTTGCTACCTCCACCGTTTTCGTCACTGACGTATGTATGGGGAGGACGAGAACATCCAAAACAAGACATTTAAAAATCGCTGGTAGGTGGCCCTGGAAGTAGCCAGGGAAGGGAAGGATCCAGAATACAAAGTTGCTTACATCATTTTCAGATCCTTCCCCCGTGGGCTATCCCCAATGTGTAAGTGGCTTACTCACTTCAATGTCCCCCTGTCGACATGGGCGTGAAAAGAACTCACGAGGAAATACAGTCAGTTTCTAAAGCAAAAATACCGAATTCTTTCATAAAGGGAGCCTATAGGCAAGAAAGCAGGGTAATTCTTATCGTGGAGGCCGTTTATTATTTTTAAGGACGAATTCACGCTGGAAAGGCAACCCATTTCAAATTAAACTAGGCGATGGTGAGTGGTACACGAAAGAAGGAAGAACCATGAGAAACGGCCCAGAACCCGAGAAATGGGACCCCTTCCTTGCCCGTTGATTTGAGCATTGATGCGACTCTCATCGCTGTGCCCTCTTCAACACTACGCTCTCTCACCTATCTAATCACTCGCCACGTATAGACCTGCGGCGAGTGATCAGATGATCGGTGGGCGTGCACTGGCCCACCGCGCCAAGATTGAGCCTTAATAGGTCGCCGAGGTCAACTCCTTCGGTGCCAATTGCGCTTCAGTCCGCACCCTCAGGAGGTCCGCGGGTCCCTCAACTAGGTGAATTACTCCTTCTTCGACTTTCATTCTAATCGTGAATTCGTCCTTTAATAAGGTGCGTGAATTGAACATAAGACAAAGCAGTGGCTCCAGCAGAGACAAAACTAGATGAAAATTGCCTTGAAAAATTGTTTTTTGTAAACTTAAAGTATTCTAAATATGAAATATTGTGTACTAAATAGTAGTATGTCGAAATATTATTTCTGCAAAATAATGTTTGTTTACAAGAAAATAGCAATTGAGGAAATTCAAGTCGGTCCCCTGAAAAACCGCAAATTATAATACTTACTCTTTAATCACTTTTTGGGATTTCATGAAGTTCTTGGTATGATAAACTCCAATCTATGCAGTGCCCCAATAAGTGTAAGTGTTTGAAATAAGGACCTCACGGTCTGAACAATCTCCTTAGTTAGCATTTACTGCGCTACAACTGGCTCTTTCGTCATACCAGTTGTGATGGATTAAGCTGCGTTAGCAGGCGACCGGTTGATCACCGATAGCAATTTATGTTACCAGTTTGATGGGCGCCCATATAAGGTCGTCAACCAAGCCGTTATCAGTGGTATCCACTACATCGGCTATGCTCTACCTGCATACTGTACTGCACGTGATTTCGGCATCAGCCGCAATCGCTGCGTTGACAGCGATTGCTTCCACTGTTTCCATGTTCTACGATATCACCAATTTCCAGGATGAAATTCGCATGGATTTACAGCAGTTTAAGGTGAGTCAACTGCATTTAACTACCTCAAGACCTCAACCTATGGATTCGACTTTAAGGAGATGGCCGATGATGCATGGAGTCAGATGATGACGAACAAGGGCGAGCGATCTGTCTACGAAAATCTTATCACTAGGGCTAAAAGGCAAGCAGGCGGTAAGCAGAACCAAGTTTGATGGTGTTCGTAACCTTCTTGAACTGAATGCCTGTTTTCCAGGTGACCAGTGCCAGTGCGCTCCAATAGCAACCAACTGTCCTCCTGGGCCCCCTGGTCCACCTGGATTAAATGGAGAAGATGGTGAACCGGGCACACCTGGCCAAGACGGCAATGTTGGTCAAGTTG